CCACTACACCTGGCCACTACACCTGGCCACTACACCTGGCCACTACACCTGGCCACTGCACCTGACCACTACACCTGGCCACTACACCTGGCCACTACAGCTGGCCACTACACCTGGCCACTACACCTGGCCACTACACCTGGCCACTGCACCTGACCACTACACCTGGCCACTACACCTGGCCACTACACCTGGCTAAGTCATCCCCAGTCACTTTCTACACAGACCAACCTCACAGTGTCATGTGGTCGAGGCAGGAGGATTGCTATGTGTTCATAAATAGACTGGGCAATGAACCCATCAGAAGATGGGGCAGGAGAACCCAGCAGGAATCCAAAGACTCACCTGAGTGCATAGTGAGTTAGTCACTGGGCTACATGGGATTCAAGAAGACAGAATAAAAACCCAACCAACCAATCAACAAAACAACAGTGTAGCTCCTCTGGCCACATGAGGTGGGGAACAGAGGACATCTTATTGCTAAGATGGGGAAACTGAGGAACAGAGAGGTTGAAAGCACAGTGGGGCTTTTGACTTGGAGGGGTTCCGGGAGTCTCCTGCTGTAGCCACATGGAGCTGTGTGTCCCAGGCAGGCTCTGTGGGACCCCAGCTATCAGACTGGAAGTTTGGCAAATACTGAGGGGTGTGGTTGGGAGCACGCTGATTCCTTGTGACTCAAGGCCAAGCACAGGTTGCTGGAGGCCTCTGATTACCTGCAGATGCTCTGAAAAGCGATCCTGGGTGTTTTCGGGACTGCTGGTAAAGTGGTCAGGGAGAACAAATGGCTTTTGCTTCCAAGCGAGATCAGATTTGATGGCTGGCGCCACAGCAGCCTGGGAAGGACCTGGCAGCCCCGCAGCAGCAGGTAGGATCAGGACAGCCCCAGAGCCCTGTGTCCAGGCCTAGAGGCACACTGATGGACTGGCCAGGCTGTCCAGTCCTGTGCCGACTCTGGCCTCTTTAACTACTGTCTGGCTCTGTTCATCCTGCACAGCAGCCACTATCTTCATCAGAGCTATCAGGACCCTAAGGTCCCGCCTGCTGGCTGGTGGCAGTCTCTCAGAAGAGCACGGGAGGGGAGGGTCGCTGGACAGCTCCTGGGAGCTCCCCTCCCTCCTATGTGTGCATCTCAGCTACTGTGTGTGTTCTGCCCCAATCCTACATGGCGGCTGGGGGGCGGGCGGCTCAGGAGGCACTAGTATCCATAGTGTGGAAAGTTAACTGAAGGATATAACAGGTCCCAGACTTTAGCACAACTGACTCCATGATGGAAGTACCACTCAGGCCATGAAACTCAGCACAGACAGCACCACCTGCTAAAAATAAAACAATAAATCTAACCCATTAAAGCCCATAGTTCTGGGAGAGCCTCTAAATGTGCTCACCTTGCTCTTTGGCCTCTGCAGCTCCCTTTCGGCTGACTGTTCTTGTCAACTGAAGCATGCCAACCCAGGGCATGACTTTGTGCTTCAAAGCTCACCCTGAAAAGGGCTAGGGTTACAGCGGATCCCGAACACCCAGGGTAGTCACAAGCCAACTAGTAAAGACTTTCTATTGGCTTAAATGATGTCCGAGCAGTCTTCTCTGATGGCTGCCCTACAACAAAGGGGACTCTCTTTGCAGCTATGGGGTCCCCACAACCCTGTAACCATTCATAAGCCCAGGGGTCTCATCTTGCCAGAACGGTTTGAGACCTGCTGGGACACAGGTTGATCCTCCTGCCTCAGTCTAAGTGTGGCACACAGCACCCACTTTCATGCGGTATCTGCCGTCTGCTTGGCTGATGTGTTTGTGCTCCTAAATCTCCTGGAAGGTTTGCAGACACCTGTGAGCTCCCCGACGATCTGGAACAAGCCGGTATGGCCTCCCTGTGTGCATGTGTCCTCTGTGGGCGCTGCACAGGACTGCTTTTCCCCTTTGAGCTTTTTTCTTTATTTTTAAAATTATTTTATTTTATTTACTCCCCCCCCCCTTTTTTTTTGAGACAGGGTCTTTCTACAAAGGCCTGACTGTCCTGGAACTATGTAGTCTGAACTCACAGACCCACCACTTAAAGGTGTGTGCCACTACACCAAGTCTCCTTTTTAAAAAAATAAACATGATCTTTTTATATAATTTATTTAAGTTTATGTGCATTGGTGTGAAGGTATCAGATCTTCTGGAACTGGAATTATAGGCAGTTATGAGCTGCCATGTGGTTGCTGGGCATTGAACCCAGGTCCTCTGGAAGAGCAGCCAGTGCTCTGAACCGCTGAGCCATCTCCCTAGCCCCACCCCCCTACTTTTTTATTTTTGAGGCAGGCTCTTATGAAGCATAGGTTGGTTTACAATAGTCAAGAATGGAATTGCTCTTCTCATCCTCCTATCTCTCTCTCCCAATGTGCCACCACACCTCAGCTCACTCTGCATCACTCCGTCCACAGCTGCAGACTCCACAGGGCTGCTGCTCCTGACCCCAGGTGTCCTGCAGAGTCTGGAGTTCTAAGCACAAAGACGCTTTGTGTGCCTCTCCAACATCAGACAAGACCTGAGGGCTTGTTTCCAAAGGTGCCCCATGCCAGCGCAGGTCGGGCTGCTTCTCCCCTTACCCATGCCCCAAGCTGACAACCATGAAGAGCCAGGCTGCCCCAGGGTCTTGCCTGCTAAGCTTTAAAATGCTCAGGGTGTGAGGCAGAGAGGCAGCAAGTATGGTCTCTGTTCAGAAAAAGAAGCAAAGAGGAGCACTTAGCAACCCACGCTGTGCTCCCAGCACCCAAGGCCAGCGGCACACAGCTGCCTGTAACTCCAGCTCCAGAGGATCTGGTGCCTTCTTCTGGCCTCCAAGGGTCCTGGCATGCATGTGCACACACACACACATATACAAAAAAGTTAATAAAATAAAGGTCTAGATGGCATATAAGGGTGCACCATCCTGAGCCTTTGGCAAAGGGTGTGGTCTCGCGTCAGGGTTTAGTCTTCAGACTACCTGCACATCTGCCTGCTGCACTAACTGGCACAGGGGCTGCACCTTAATTATTAATTGTTAACCACTGCAGCCAGCATTTGCGACTCCTCAGTTACTGGCCTGCTTCTCTGGCAGCAGCCTAGCCACTCAGGTTGCAGCGTGGCAGGAATTCTGTTCCCATAGGCACTGGCTGTCACTGCCGCTAAAGGTAGCTTTAACTAAATCTCTATTGTTATATTAACAAACAAGACTTGAGATTCGAGATTCAAAGGCTGGGGTGAAAATGTGCTAGCTCAGAGAGGTGGAGTTAATCTTCTGTCCTTGATGGCGGCTCCCAAAGATAGTGTTCTTCTCCTGACCCAAGGTTAATTTATTTGATTAATGCAAATGCAAATTTGGGGTTCACAATGTGATCAACACTGCTACTCTAGGCTCCCAGCACACTTTGCAAGGCTGTAAAGTGCACAGCTTGGTTTTTAAGACTGTCAGTCTTCAGGGCTCTTATTATGAAGTGACGATTGTTGTTTCTGTGGGTAAACGCCAAGAAGTCTCTAAAGAGGACTGGTGGCAGGGCTCATCGGGGAAGGTGCCTGCAGCCAAGCCTGGCAGAACCCTACCTAAGGAGATGAACTCATACCTACTGATTCCAGATGGGGAGCCAACCACAGACCAGCACCAGCTTGATGAAACACTGAGTTTTATTTGGGTCACTTACAGGAGCAGAAATGACTCACAGACAGCTGCATCAGCAGACCGACCCCAGCATGCATGACAGCTCACAGCGCCGGGAGCCCGGAGCACACTGCCCAGCCCACAGGCAGCTTCATAGGTTAGGGTCCTTTCCAGGACACAGGCTTGTCTGAGCACTCTTAGCGGCTTATACACACTTGGAAGAATGAGGCCTAGAGCAGCTGGTCAGTTTAGGGACTGAGCTGTTTCCTTCCTCAGCTGAGGGAGCCTCAGAGAAACAGCCACACAGCAGGAGGAAACAGACTCCGGAAATTATCCTCTGACCTCTGCACATGGCACTCAGGAACCCCTCTCCCCACAAATAAATAAAAGTTAAAACTATTTAAGTTTGGGGCCGGAGAGATAGCTCGGTGATTAAGAGCACTAACTACTCTTCCAGAGAGCCCGGGTTCAATCGCCAGCACCCATGTGGTAGCTCACAGCAGTCTGTGACTCCAGGTTCAGTGCTCCTGACACACTCACACAAATGTGAGGAGGCAAGCACCAATGCACATAAAAATTTAAAAAATAATTTAAGTTCACGGTCATTCTGGATGGGTTGCACAAAACCAATCTCCAGAAAACTCCAAAATTTAAGATAAATTTAAAAATAAATCCTAAGGCTAAGGCTGAGGCTGCACCTCAGCTGGCAGAGGGCATGCCTGGCATGCACAAGAAAGAAAGCTGGTTCCAGGCTGACCGCCACACAAATCAGGTGTGGTACAGCCTGAAGAGCACCCTGGGCTGCGTGGCGGGTTTCGGACAGTCTGTGCTCCACGAGACCCTGATTTCATAATAACATAAAGGCCCTGCAGAGGAGGAGAGTTCAGTCGCCAACACCCATGTCAGGGAGCTCCAGGGGATCCCGTGCCCTCTTCTGGCTTCCAAGAACACCCCCCCCCCACACACACATATACACATACACGCACACAAAATAAAAATAAATCTTCAAAGAAAGAAAACAAAAGACTACACATGGCGGGTATCAGGAACTGTTTAGTGTTGGCGCATGTGCAGTCTCCAAACACAAGACTTGACAAGTGAAGAGAAAATGCCGTCCAGGTCGCCCCTGCATCTCCAGGCAGGAGACCCTGTCTCCAAACAGCCGCTGCGCTGCAAGGCTGGGTGTCAGCCAGCAATGCTTGTGGGGCAGGTGGCAGGCAGTGAGCACCAGAATCAGGGACTATGAGACGCTGGGGGGTAGGCGCGCAGCTGCTGTCTTCTCCACCACGAAGCCATAGTTATACTGGGGAGAGGAAAGAGGGGGGCTGAAGGAGGCACTGAGGACTGAAGGGGCACACTGGGAGTGACTGAGGAGTTGGGGTGTCTGGGTCCTGAGGACACGGGGTGGGGCCTCAGCACTTCATGCACCTCTGCACCTACCTCCTTCTCAATGTCTGCCAGTGATTTAATGGTCAGGTCCCCAAAAGCAGACAAGTTCTAGAGGACAGAAGTGAGAGCGTGAGCCAGGGTCCCACTCAGCGGTGGCATGTGTGCGTTCCATGTGCACACACTCACCATGGCCTGTGAGCTTCTCTCTCCTTCTGCTATGTGAGACCTGGGAACTGGATTAAGGTAAGGCTTGGTGGCAAATGCCTTTACCGGCTGAGCCATCTCTTCAAGCATGACCCCAGCTTCTCAGATGGCATCTCATGTAGCCCAAACTCACTATGTAGCCAAGGATGACCTTGTTACAGGGCCTCCTGCCTCTAACTCCTGAGGGCTGGGATGACCAGGGCACCACCCATACCCGGCCCTAATTCTCCCATCTTTCAGGACTCGCCCCCACAAACATTGGCCTGGGTCTCATCCAACCCCCACATCTCTACTCTACTCTGGGATCCATGGTCTCTCCCGTCACCCACTCAGTCGTGGTCACTGTGCTGGGTCATGTGGCAGCAAGAATGTCACATCCCCGTGAACAGAGGCTGGCGAGCACTCTCCATCCCAGGGACACTGACTCACCAGAGGCCCGCAGCTCTTGCCCTCGAATCGGGGGTGCAGTGTAAAGGGAACCCCATCCATGGCTGCAATGAAAATTCCCAGGAGGCTGAGGAGGACCCCAAACACCCTGCGGCCCTCCCCACGACCCTGCCCACTCACGGAGCACAGTGGAATCAGTGTGACTACAGCTTTCGGGTTCCGTGTACCCCTGGAACTCATGCCGAATAAGCCCACCAGCTTCCTAATGGATTCTGGCGCACTGTACTCCCTGGAGAAGTCTGTTAATGTCACCCCAGGAAGAGGGGCATACAGCACACCCTGGGTTCTGCCCTGAGCACCTGCACAGCTTGAGGCCCCAGTCATTCCACCCCTCAACCAAGGGAGAAAAATCACAGTTTAGGGGCTGGAGTCGGTCAGCAGTTAAGAGCCCAGATTCGGCTCCCACCACCTACATGGCAGCTTACAACCCATTTTAACTCCAATTCCAAGGGATCCGTCCCCATCTTCTGCTCCTCCCAGGAAATGCACACACTCGGCAGACAGGCACACATGCAAGCAAAACACGCATACACATAAAATTAAAAATAAATTTTAAAAATAAAAGCTTGGTGGGAGGGCCAGGGAGAGGTCCCCAGGGCACACTCTTAAGGGAGTCATAGCTCCCACCAAAGGCTGTAGTGTCTCCACTCTGTGCTCACCTGAGATGCCGTAGAGACTGGACGCCTCATAGATGGAGTCATTCCTCCGCAGAGTGGACGCTCGGGAGCCTAGTCTGGACAGTGTCCGCTCAGGATGGCTGCTTTTGCTGGGGAGCAAGGGACAGCGACCTGAGTCAGGCTGGAAGTTGTCCTCTTGGCCTGCCTGCCCACCAGAATACCTGAGGCTCACCTGGGCTGTCTGGGTGGGTCCAGCGACAGGCCCTGCATATCCTGGCTGACAGTGCGTGGCTTGGGCACTGGCCTTGGGGCCTTGGATTTCTTGCACCAGATGGCAAAACCACCCATGTCCCTGGAGCAAGGGGGTGGGGCAGGGAGGAAGCCAATGCTCTGTGAGGCCGGGGCTGAAAGGGTCCTGGGGACCCATGAGATCCCCATCCCCACATGCAGAGGGGAAGTGGGCAGAGGCGGGTGCTGCGCCCTACCCCACTCGCAGGTATCCGGGCACTGTCTTGGTCTTCCCACTCAGCTTCACGTCACACACAACCATGTCGGCAGCCCCCAGGGGCATCAGCTTCACACACATGCGTTTCTTCCTGGACACAGAGGCCTCTGGGAGTGGGGGCAGGGGAGTGAGAGAGGGGAGCAGGGCAGGGAGGGGAGCACTCAGAGATGCTCACCATAGTGTTTAGGGGCAACACTGGGCAACTGCTTAAATCATAAATGGTGCTCATAGGAGGGATCACACTAACTTCTAGAATCATTGAAGCAGACTGACCTTTGCTGAATATTTGTGGGGTGGCTGTGGAATCAATAGTGGAGTATCTACTTTGACACCCCAACTTCACTTTCCCTGATCTATAACCCAAGGGGGTCACAACGACTGCTCTTTTTTTAAAAAAAAAAATCTAGCACAAGGCTGTTGTGTGTGCTTCCTGGAGTCAGGAAGGCTATTTTGTATTATATGTTTGGATTTGTGTTCATGAGATAGAGTCTCATGTAGCCCAGGCTGGCCTCAAAATCACTATGTAGCTGAGGATGGCCTCCTGATGCTGGAAGGCGTGCTTAGTCTATTTGGTGCTGTGGATGGAGCCCCCATGCACATTAAGTGAAGACCCTGCTCACTGAGATCGCCCCAGCCTCATCTCATTCTGCAGTCTGTGCTGCCCTGGAATTCACCACAGAGCCCAAAGTGCTTTTAACTGGAAGCAATCGTCCTGCCTCAGCCTCTCAAGAGCTGGAACAAAGAGCCCCAGCTCCACAGCCAGCAGGATCCCCGAGGAGAGGACTGAGGTTCCAGGCCAGCTGGGGCTGCACACTGAGACCCTGCTCCTCCCAACCAACGAAACAGGTCTGTCAGAAACAGCAGCATAGGAGGGTAGGAGAAGCCCGAAGTGTGGAAGCCTGCTGTCTGCACACTGACCTGACCTCTGCAGAGCAGCCTAGCCTGAGTCACTAAAGACACCTTGAGAACCAAGCACCATCGGGAAGGTGGGAAGCTGGGTCAGGCGGGGGACAGGAGGAGGGAAGGCTGAGCTATGCAGAGAACAGGGAAAGCCATTTCCGGCGGACTCGCTGGGCAAGAGCCTGGAAAGGAAAAGAGAATGGCGAGGACTCCCTCAGCCACAGAAGCAGAGGGCAAGCGGCAGTGACCAGGTCAGGAAGGCGGTGGGGTTGTTGTTTGTTTGTTCTGAGACGGTTTCGCTCCACTGTGCTCCACTTCTCAGGGGAAGCTGAGACTCATGGCTATCCTCCTCCTTCAGTCCGAGTGCTGACACAGCAGGTGTGTGTCAACTATTTATTTTTGGAGTAGTGGGATGAGACCAAGCCTCACTCTGTAGCCCAGGCTGGACTTCAACTCCCCACCATCCTCCTGCCTCAGCTTCCCAAGTTCTGCACTGATAGGTTATGCCTCTCTGCCCAGCTAGGTCATATTTGGTACCACACAGCCTCTCCCTGTGCCTGTCGCTCTCCCGTGGGCCCACGGATCTTACTGGCGTCTAGAGAGTCGTTGACGGTAGAAAAGCCAGACGGCAGGGGACCCTTGTCCATCACGATCTGCATGTCCACTACCACACTGTCCAGAGGGTTCTAGGAGTAGGAGAGGAGCAGGTGGAGGAGGGTCAGGGATGTCAGCGGGCAGGGGGAGGATCGGGAAAGGCTCAGGTTCAGGCTTCCGGATGCCTGTGCTCACCTTCAGGCTGCCCAGTGGGCTCAGGCACAGGAAGTAGCCGGCCTTCTGCGCGAAGCCGCGGCCGAAGCTGGCGGTCGCGCCCTCCACGGTAGAGGTGATCTGCGGGTCGAACGGGTCAGCGGGGTTTCGTCCCCTCTCTGCCCCGTCCCCGCCGCCCTTGCCCGCCCCTCGCTCACCGCACTGAAACCCGGCGGCGGTGGCGTCAAGGCTGACGACCAGACCAGGCCCGCAAGAGGCTCCGCATCCGCCCCGGGATCCATCCTCCCTGGGACCTCAGACGGCAGCTAAAATCCTCGGACGGCCAGAACCTTGGACTACAATTCCCAGAAGACCTGGCGAACGTGCACCGCACAGCAGCTACTGCTCATGCCCAGATACTGAGGACCAATCCGATGTAGTCGTGGGAACCACACCCTCTGGGCGCACCCTTGAGAGACGTTTGCGGAAAATGGATTAGTACTTCCGCCCTTAAGCACCACTCACGGCCAAGCCGGGCAAGGGGGAGGCGGTTCAGTTCCCTGTCGGGACTACACTCCCCAGAATGCCATGCGACATTACCCACCGACCCCTTGTTTCTTTATCGGAAACTGGCCCAGAAAGGCCAGGTAGCCCTCATCTGTCATGCTAACAACTTCAAGAGGCGGGTGCCAAATGGTGAAATGACCCTTACGACATAGTTACCGACAACCAGGCTCATCTAATTAAGCCAATAAAAACTACAAGAGTCCTTTAATAATGGCCAGATCAAGAGATTAGCCGAGGCTCAGGAGAACAGTGTTTTTTTGTTTTTGTTTTTGCTTTAATTTTTGATTTTTATTGAGCTCTACATTATTCTCTGCTACCCTCCCTGCCTCTCCCCTCCCCTTCAACCCTCTCCCAAGGTCCCCATGCCCCCAATTTACTCAGGAGATCTTGCCTTTTTCTAGTTCCCATGTAGATTAGATCTATGTATATCCCTCTTAGTGTTCTCATTGTTGTCTAAATTCTCTGGGATTGTGGTTTGTGGGCTGAGTTTCTTTGCTTTATGTTTAAAAGTCACGTATAAGTGAGTACATGTGATAATTGTCTTTCTGGGTCTGGGTTACCTCATTCGAAATGATGTTTTCTAGCTCCATTCTTTTCCTGCAAAATTCAAGTTGTCGTTATTTTTTTTTCTGCTGTGTAGTACTCCATTGTGTAAATGTACCACATTTTCCTTATCCAGTCTTCAGTCGACGAGCATTTAGGTCGTTTCCAGGTTCTGGCTATGACAAACAATGCTGCTATGAACATAGTTGAGCACATGTCCTTGTGGCATGATTGAACATCCTTTGGATATATACCCAAAAGTGGTATTACTGGGTCTTGAGGAAAGTTGTTTCCTAATTTTCTGAGAAATCACCACACTGACATCCAAAGGGGTTGTACCAGCTTGCATTCCCACCAACAATGCAGAAGTGTTCCTTTTTCCCTACAACCTCTCATCAGTGTTTTTGATCTTGGCCATTCTTTCAGATGTAAGATGAAATCTCAGAGTTGTTTTGATTTGCATTTTTCTGATGACTAAGGATGTTGAACATTTTCTTAAGTGTTTTTCAGCCATTTTAGATTCCTCTGTTGAGAGTTCTCATTTTTTATTGGATTATTTGTTCTTTTGATGACCAATTTTTTGAGTTCTTTGTGTATTTTGGAGATCAGACCTCTGTCTGATGTGGAGTTAGTGAAGATCTTTTCCCATTCTATAGGCTGTCATTTTGTCTTGTTGACCGTGTCCTTTGCTTTACAGAAGCTTTTCAGTTTCAGGAGGTCCCATTTAGTAATTGTTTCTCTTGGTGTCTGTGCTGCTGAGGTTATATTTAGGAAGTGGTCTCCTGTGCCAATGTGGTTAAGTGTACTTCCCACTTTCTCTTCTATGAGGCTCAGTGTGACTGGCTTTATGTTGAGGTCTTTGATCCATTTGGCCTTGAGTTTTGTGCATGGTGATAGATATGGATCTATTTTCATTCTGCTACAAGGTGATATCCAGTTATGCCAGCACCACTTGTTAAATATGCGTTCTTTTTTTTCCATTTGGTATTTTTTTTTGCTTCTTTGTCAAAAATCAGGTGTTCGAAAGTTGTGTGGGTTGATATCCAGGTCTTCGATTTGGTTCAATTGGTCCTCCTGTCTGTTTTTAGGCAAATACCAGGCTGTTTTCAGTACTGTAGCTCTGTAGTAGAGTCAGGGATTGTGATGCCTCCAGAAATTCTCTTATTGTATAGAAATGCTTTGACTATCCTGGATTTTTTGCTTTTCCATATGAAGTTGAGTACCGTTCTTTCGAGGTCTTTGAAGAATTTTTCTGGGACTTTTATGGACATTGCATTGAATCTGTGGATTACTTTTGGTAAGACTGCTATTTTTACTATGTTATTCTGCCTACCCAGGAGCATGGGAGATCTTTCCACTTTCTGGTGTCTTCTTCAATTTCTTTCTTCAAAGATTTAAAGTTGTTGTCATACAAGTCTTCTACTTGTTTGGTTAGAGTTACTCCGTGATATTTTATGCTATTTGTGGCTACTGGGAAGGGTGATGTTTCTCTGATTTTTTTCTCGGCCCATTTATCATCCGTGTAAAGGATGGCTACAGTTTTTTTTTTTGTTTTTTTTTTTGAGTCAGTATTGTATTCTGCTACATTACTGAAAGTGTTTATGAGTTGTAGAAGTTCCTTGGTAGAATTTTTGAGGTTGCTTATATAAACTATTATATCATCAGCAAACAGTGAGAGTTTGACTTCTTCTTTTCCAATTTGAATCCCCTTGATCCCCTTTTGGTGTCTTATTGCTCTAGCTAGGACCTCAAGAATTGTATTGAATAGATATGGAGAGAGTGAATAACCTTGTCTTGTTCCTGATTTCAGTGGAATTGCTGGGAATTTCTCTCCACTTAGTTTGATGCTGGCTGTTGGCTTGCTGTATATTGCCTTTATTATGTTTAGGTATGTTCCTTGTATCCCTGCTCTTTCCAAGACGTTTATCATGAAGGGATGTTGTATTTTGTTGAAAGCTTTTTCAGCATCTAATGAGATGATCATGTGTTTTTTATTTTTCAGTTTGTTTATATGATGGATTATGTTGAAGGACAGCATTTTTTTTTTTTAAAGAACCAATTGCATCAGTGTGTGTGTGGGAGGGTTGGAATAACCTGATAACATCTGGTCTTTTCTTTTTCTTTCACATTTTAGCAGTATTTTCCAGACACGAGTATTTTTTAAATTTTATTTTTTCTTTTACATACCAATCCCACTTCCCCTTTCCTCTTCTCATCCTGCTCCTCTCCCCGCTCCACTCCCAATCCACACCTCAGAAAGGTTAAGGCTGCCCCTGGGAAGTCAACTAAGCCTGTCCCAGCACATCACTGAGGCAGGATCAAGGCCTTCCACCCTGCCTGTGCCTAGGCTGAGCAAGGTATCTCTCCATAGAGAATATGCTCCACAAAGTCAGCTCGTGCATTATGGTAGATCCTGATCCCACTAAAATGGCTCCACATGCTGCCCGAGTCACAGCACTGACACCTGTCTCGGGGGCCTAGTTAGGTACTATGCAGGTTCCCCAGTTGTCAGACTGGAATCAGTGATCTTTCACTAGTTGGGGGGTCACTGATTCTGTGGGTTTCCCCATCACGGTCTTGACCCCTTTGTTCATATTATCGTCCCTCTGCTGGCCTCCAGCGCCACCCAGTGGTTAGTTGTGGATGTCGGCTTCCCTCTGTTTCTAGAAGAGGGTTCTAGTTTCTCTGGGGTTATGGCTGTAGGCTTGTTATCCTTTGATTTATGTCTGGTGTCCACTCTTAAATAGGTAAATACTGTATTTGTCTTTCTGGGTCTGGGTTGCCTCACTCAGGATGTAACTTTTTCCTAGCTACATCCACTTGCCTGCAGATTTAAAGATGTCATTGCTTTTACAACTGTGTAAATGTGCCACATTTTCCTTATCCACTCTTCGGTTGAGGGGCATCCACGTTGCTTTCAGGTTTTGGCTGTGACAAACAAAGCTGCTATGGACACAGTTGAGAACATGTCCTTTTGGTGTGATTGTGCCTCTTTTGGGTATATGCCAAAGAGTGGTGTTGCTGGGTCTTGAGGTAGATTGATTCTTTTTTGTTTGTTTGTTTTTGGCTTTTTTTTTTTCCAAGACAGGGTTTCTCTGTAGCTTTGGAGCCTGTCCTAGAACCTGTTCTTGTAGACCAGGCTGGCCTCAAACTCACAGAGATCTGCCTGCCTCTGCCTCCCTAGTGCTGAAATTAAAGGCGTGAGCTACCATCGCCCAGCTGATTCTTAGTTTTCTGAGAAATCACCATACTGATTTCCAAAGTGACTATATATGTTTTGACTCCCAGCAGCAATGGAGGAGTGCTCCTCTTGCCCCACATCCTCTCCAGCATAAGCTGTCCTCAGTGTTTTTGATCTTAGCCATTCTGATTGGTATCTCAGAGTCGTTTAGATTTGCATTTCTCTGATTGCTAAAGATGCTGAACATTTTCTTACGAATCTTTCAGTCATTTGAGATTCTTCTGTTAAGAATTCTCTGTTTAGATCTGTACCCATTTTTAATTGATTTATTTGATGTCTAGTTTTTTTTTAAGTTCTTTATATATTTTGGAGATCAGCCTCTGTCAGATGTGGGGTTGATAAAGATTTTTTCCCATTCTGTAGGCTGCTGTTTTGTCTTGTTGATTGCATCCTTTGCCTTGTAGTAGCTTCTCAGTTTTAGGAGGTCCCATTTATCAATTGTTTCTCTCAGAGTCTGGGCTACTAGTGTTATATTTAGTAAGTGGTCTCCCATGCCCATGAGTTCAAGGCTATTTCCCACTTTCTCTTCTGTGAGGTTCACTGTGATTGGCTTTATGTTGAGGTCTTTGATTCATTTGGATTTGAGTTTTGTGCATGGGGATAGATATGGGTCTATTTGCATTCTTCTATGTTTTGACATCCAGTTATACCAGCACCATTTGTTGAAGGTGCTTTCTTTTTTTCCATTTTATATTTTTAGCTTTTTTGTCAAAAATCAGGTGTTCATAGGTGTGTGAGTTAATATCAAAATTTAATTATGCCAATACCAAGCTGTTTTCCTTACTGTCGCTCTATAGTAGAGCTTGAGGTCAGGGATGGTGATACCTCCAGATGTTTCTTTATTGTACAGAATTATTTTGGCTATCCTGTATTTTTTGTTTCTCCGTATGAAATTTAATATTATTCTTTTGAGGGTTGTGAAGAATTGTGCTGGGATTTTGATGGGGGTTGCATTGGATCTGTAGATTGCTTTTGGTAAAGTTGTCATTTTTATTATGTTAATCCTACCTATCCA